GAAAAGTCTGGATATTTCCGTCTCAAAACATCTATGGATTTGAGGCACCATTCACCACTACCACTCAAATATAGCAGATCTTTATAAGATGGCGCCTCCATAACCACAAATCTTGGTATAGTCAGAAAAATATGTGACGGTATCACCCAAATTGGAAGTTTGACATCAAACTTAAAAAAATATTTTTGCCAAACTCTCAACAATGCAGCCCTTATTATATGATTTCTAAAAGTTTTATCAATCTTTTTTTGCATAAAAAGATAAGCATGCCACCCAAAGTACAAATCCCATCCTATTTAATTCATTCTTTTTATCTGCCTTCATGCAAAAGGAAAAATAGTCCAATTTATCAATCTGTCTTCTGCATTAAAACCATAGAAGAGTGAATAGGAATGCATGTAAAAATAGTCCAGAACACCTATCTACTCTAGATGAGTTCAAATAATCAGGACAGGCTGAATTACATCACAGAATTCTGAAGGAGCTAGCAGACCTGATCACAGAACTCCTGAACAAAAGCTTTCAGAGTTCGTGGAGCCCTGGGGAACTACCAGAGTACTGGAAAAGAACTGATCTGATTCCAGTCTTCAAATCAAGAAAAAATAGATGCAGGAAACTACAGCCCAATCAATACCTGAGAAAATCCTGGAAAAGGTAATCAAGCAGCAGATTTGCAAGCACCTAAAAACAATCTAAGGATTACTAGAAACCAACATAGGTTTAGTAATACCGGACAAACCTTATTGCCTAGTTTGACGTGACTAAATTAGTGGATCGGGGAAAAAGTTGTGGACCTAATTTATTTATTTAGACTTCAGTAAGATATTTGACAAAGTAGATCACAGCCTACTTCTCAGTAAGATAGAAAAATGTGGGATAAATAACCTCACCACCACAGGGATTCACAGCTGGCTAATAAATGACACTCAACCTGTAGTCCTCAATGGAACTTCATATAAATGGAAGGAGGGCATGCAGTGAGTACAATTAAGTTTTTGACTTAGGCCCAGTGCTCTTCAACATCTGCACAAATGATTTAGACTAGGGAATAAAAGGGGAACTCATCAAATTTGCAGGTGACACCAAGCTGTGGGAATAACCAACACTTTAGAACAGAGGTGTCAAACTGCCGGCCCACGGGCCAGACGCATCATGAGGAAACTGCGCCCACCCCATTGCCGGCAATGGGGAAAAAGCTCCAATACGTTGCACGATGTCATGTGACATCGCGAGTTTGACATGTCTGCTTTAGAAGACAGACTTAGATTAAGCCCTATCTAGCAAAATAGAATTCGGTGGTGAGAAAAGTAATATCTTACACTTAGGCAAGAAAAGCTAACTGCACAGGTATAGAATAAGTGGTATCTAGATTAACAGTAGTAGTATGAGAGAGATCTAGGTGTCCTAGTGGACAACCACTGAAATATGAGCCAGCAGTGTGCTACACCTATATAAAAAAAACCTAATACAGTCAAAAGCTGTATCAACAGAAGGATAGTACTGAGATCACATGAAATGATAGTACCGATTTATATTCCACTGGTAAGACCATACTTGGAATGCTATATCCAGTTCAGTCATGATGATTAGAAAAATGATGCTTATACTGTAGAAAGCGTGCAGAGAAGAGCAGCAAAGATGACAAGGCTAAACCATACAGGAACTAGCTAGTCTATATCTAGTCTATCAAAAGGAAGGACCAGGGGTGACATGTTAGCAGTCTTCTAATACTTGAGGGCCTGTCAAAGAAAAGAGAGGGTCAATCTATTCTCCAAAGCAACTTTAGGCAGGACAAGAAGTAATAAGTGGAAGATCATTAAAGAGTGATCCAATCTAGAAATAAGGAGGAATTTCTTGGCAGTGAAAACAATCAGTGGAACAGCTTGCCTCCAGAGGTTATGGGTGGTCCATCACTGGAGGTTTTCAAGAAGAGATTGAACAACCATTTGTCCAGAATGGTATAGGGCAGACATATCAAACTCGTGATGTCACGTGGTGTTGCGCAACGTATTGGAACTGGTTTGCCATTGCTGGCAATGGGGTGGGCACGGCTTCCGCGTGACACGTCCGGCCCGTGGGCCAGCAGTTTGACACCCCTGGTATAGGGTCTCTGCTTGAGCAGGGGGTTGGACCAGAAGACATCCAAGGTCCCTTCCAACCCTGTTATTTTATGTTATTCTACTTGTACAACCATTTTGCAAATGCTTTCATAATTCATTACTATTTAGATCCTATACTAGTTATTTGACTAGTACTTGTACAATAGTTATAGCAAGAAATCCATCTTACACTTTTTAAAGTAGTGTTAGGTTGGACACAATGCTGCATTATAAATGTTCTATAAAAATTTTGCTTTTTATTGAATTTATTTAAAAAATAATAATTTTAATGAATGTTTAAATTATAATAATTAATGGTTAATAAAAATAAAAAAAAACATAATTCTTAATTAAGAAAAACAATATGATATGAGGATTATTTGTGTGCATGTTTTTAACGTCGTTACCTTATTTTCTTTCCTTCCTATCCCTAACCTCCAGACACACATGTTTGCCTACCAGGTCAATTTAAGTGCACCAAGAATCAGAAATGTATCCCAATAAATCTCAGGTGTAATGGACAAGATAATTGTGGTGATGAAGAAGACGAAGGAGATTGTCGTAAGTCATTTTCTTAGATATGTAAGAATTCAGAAATCTCAAACATATAAAAAGACATATTGATCATAAAACAGAAGGCTAAAGATGATTCCAGGATACATAGATATTTTGTGTAGACATATATAGATGGTAGCCCAGACCCATAGGATACTTTTTTGCCAGAGAGGACAAATTTGAGGGAGCGTCCTATTGTAGGGTAGGAAGGAGCTGGAGTGATTAAAGAATGCTGGTGGATGATTTTTCTGGGACCCTACCTAAATTATTTGGATGCCTCCAATGGCTTTGACTAGCTGCCATTTATGTTGACCCCTAGGCACTGGCCTATTGAAATCTCTCTGCTGGACTTCTGAACTAGAGTCTTTGTTACCCAAGCAGCTACCTATGACTGTAATATTTTTGTCCACTTAGGATGGGAAGGTTGTTATGGGATGATGGGATGGATAATAGAGCTGTCACAGAATCTGCATACCATGCAGGCTGCTGAGTGCTTGAATGCAGAAATGACCAGATGGTGTATCTGCTGTTTTTATGAAGGATTAGAGTGACTATAGTTATTTGTGTAGGTTCATTGAGGGGTAGAGTAAGAGCAGATGAATGAATGAGAGTTAAGAGTGTTTTGTCTTGAGAAGTGAGAGCAAGGAATGGGAGGATCTGGAGGAAAAGGCAGGCAAAAATATTGAAAATGTGACAAGCAAGGATAGGTATGGTAGAAATCTGACTTTCCTAGGCATGCTGAGACTGCTAACTGAGAGTAGTCCAATGTCCAGGCCTTAGTATTCTATTCTATACTGGGATATCAGATCCTTAGGGGCCTTGGACTCCTGATGTTGCTTCTGAGTATCAGGTTGGTTTGTAATAAATCCACATGGAGATGTCTACATGGATAGAACAGCCAAAATAATAAGTATAATTGAGACCTGGAGAGCCCAGAGAAAGGAAACATACCTGGCCAGATTTGGGTTTGGAAATGCACCTTCCCAATTTAGGAGTTTAACAATAGCCAAGGACCCAAGAAAGTGGGGAAAGGTGGTTGTTATCATTCATAAATTGTTGAGGGCTCCCAGTGGCCCTGTGCTGTAGATAACTGAATGTGAAACCCTCTAGATGAAGATGGGCTATAGAAAACATTTGGGATTATTGTTGTTATATCACCCTCCCTGCTGCAGAACATCATCCCTGCTTACTAGCCCTTCAGCTACATCAGAGTACAAAACAGATTCCACAGGAAGACTAGAACTGTGCTTTATTGTGATAGGCTAGATCTTTGTAAGCCTGTCTGTGCTTTACCTCACTTCTCTCTTATATCCTAGTGAATTGGGAAAGAACCTTCCTGAACAATTCTGAATGCTATCTTGTTTCCCAGAACCTAAGGAATGTTTCAGCCTCTTAGCTCATATAACAGTTCTTGCCCATTTCCCTGTTTCCCCTCATCTCTCTGATTCTCTATACTATCTAATTTTTTACATTCTTTTGCCAGGTTGGCTATGGAAACCCCATGGCTGGTTAGTCCTTGGAGATTTCATTTTGCTAACAAATGTCTTTGAACAGAGGCCAGATCAGGAATCCTTGGCCTACATAGCAACTACAGACCTGTCCCAAGTCATCAAGGAACCAATGCATAGTAGTGTTTGCAGTTTGGACCTGGTTTTTGTCCTGGGGCAACTGTAACATGCTTTGCTAATAAAGAATGTTTCCATCAGTCCACTACTGTGGTCAGATCACTCTCTGATTGCCTTTCAATTTGCTGGGCAAGTCCAGTTCAGGTGCCTAGGCTTGGTATTATGGGGTTTATCTGGAGACTCCTGATGAAGTGAGCAGGATCTTTCACATTCTGAATTCAGCCTCCTGTTTATTAGAACCAGGTGTCTTAATCACCTGTTTATTAAACTCAGGTCCCTATGTCCTAAAGCTTCCCACAAAATGACCTCAGATTGGTTTCATGTGGTAGTATCAGCTTATAAAGGAAGGGACACTATGTCCCTTCTTCAGGAAGCCAACATGCCTCAGTGAATTCTGCACTTAGCAACTTTCAGTACTATTAATTACAGTATATTTCTGGATGCTGTTTTCCTTTCTCTATAGTCAGTTCTAGTCAATATTGATGGAGGAGGTGAATGCCTTTTATCTGTGGGATTCCACAGGACTTAATGCTCTCTTTTTTTCAACTTTTATATACAATTTCCAGGTCAGGTTATTCACTGATTTGGGGTCTGGCATCATCAGTCTGCTGTTGTATGCAATTATACTTTTACTCAGTCTCTAAATTTATGTAAATATGTAGATAGTAAAAGATACTATAAGCAACTATTTTTAATAGCTGTTTTTTGGAACAAACAATAATGCTGTGGTTTACACATGGTTTTATAATATAACAGTTTTATTTAGCACAGAGGGAATAATATCCAGCTGAATATCTGGGAATATCTATGGTAAGAAACAAAATATGTCATAGTCTAAGTGTTAAGATCCAGATGTTGGATAAATACTGTTGGCTCTTACCAAAGTCTATTAAGTATGCTAGCTAATACTAATATCAATGGCAGGAAACATTCAAAAGAATGTGTTTTTTTTAAAAAAGTTGTATATAGTTTATTTCTATAAATGCTATTTTTCACATGTCTAGTCAGTTTCAAATCCTAAAAATAGATTAAATTACTAAATTATACTAAAGTAAAATAATTAAAAGTAGGATCCTATATGATGGGAACAAATTCATCCAATTTGATTTACTTTTGAGTAACCATATATGAGAGTGAGTTTGGGGTAGTGGTTAAGGCACTAGGCTAGAAACCAAGAGGCTGTAAGTTGTAGTCCTGCCTTAGGCACAAAGACAGCTGGGCGACTTGAGGCCAATTAATTTATTTATACCCTAGGAAGGAGAGAGTGGCAATTTCAAAACAAAAACAAAAAAACCCTAGGTATGAAAACAGCAGTGAGTAGTCCAGGCAGTCACCCTCAAAGGCACAATATATATATATCAGTTAATAAGAGATTTGAATTCATTATAAAAGGACTTGTTAGTGTTTCCTTATATTAATCAAATATAATATATTTCGTTAAAGTACTGTACCTTGCAATAAAGTATATTGCTGAATTTACTTTGATAAATTAGTTTGAAGTAATAGCTTATTTTTAATAGCTGGGTTAAAAAGGCATTCAAAAAGATATATAGAATTTAAAAACTCTTTTTGATACTGACTGATCATCTTAATTCATTTTATAAATACACCTCTTCCATCTTTTATTTTAAAGCGGAAAACAGCTGTTCTCCTGACCATTTTCAGTGTAAAACCACAAAGCACTGTATTTCTAAACTATGGGTGTGTGATGAGGATCCAGACTGTGCTGATGGATCTGATGAAGCAAATTGTGGTGAGTACTCTAAACAACTAATAGGAAATTTAATTTTCCCTATGATTTTCTTATTTATTCAAAATTGGTATATTTAGAAAAATAACATTATTGGCTATCAACCTGAAGAATCATTTTGCTTATAATGCCTTATGAAATTTATTTATCTAATTGATATGGCCATCCATAAATCAGAAGATTGATTGTTTGTTGATTGATTATGACATCATAGATTGATTCTTAGCAGAATAACAAAATAAGGGACTTTGGAGGACTTCTAGTCTGTTTCTGCCCTTAACGATTTGTCCCTAACTTCAGATCTTCCAATTGTGCACTCATTGCCACTGTAACTGAATTAATGCAACTTGCCTTTGATCATTTTCTTCTTCTCCTTACTTTCACTAACAGAAGAATATCAGATTATAATGTAATGCCATAATGATGTTAATACATTAAACATTCTGTTATTTACTGTCAGATGAATTCATGAAAGATTGAGGATGACACATTTTGCTGCATTATTTTTTAGTGCAGTTCAATGCCAAAATCTAGGGGTGTTAATGGAGTAAAATTGGTTTATTTCAAAATGTACCTAAATTATACTGATGCAACCCAGAAATTTAGTTTATTTAACAAAAGATTTAATCCAAAATTTATTATTTCTCTTTCTTTCTCTCCTCTTCTCCTTATAAAGTTTGCATTGTAGTATGGATCTTTTTTTAGTATTTATTACTTCTACTTCTGAAATGTTTAAAATGTGATAACTGGTAATTTGCAATGCATTTTTATTATTTACAGTCATGCATAATTAGAAGTACTGTATGTTAACAAAAATAGTATAATTTTTTGTGACAGATAAAAAGACATGTGGCCCTCATGAATACCAGTGCAAGAATAGCAACTGCATTCCAGATCATTGGCGATGTGATAGTCAAAATGATTGTGGTGACAATTCTGATGAAGAAAACTGCAGTAAGTAATGTCATAGCAGTAGCACTTAGCAATAGCACTTAGATTTATATATCACTTCACAGTGCTTTACAGCCCTCTCTAAGCGGTTTACAGAATCAGCATATTGCCCCCAGCAGTCTGGGTCCTCATTTTATCGACCTGGGAAAGATGGAAGGCTGAGTCAACCTTGAGCCTGATGAGAATCGAACTGCAACTCTCATACAATTGTAAATTTGTAAATCATTCTACCAAAAAAGGGAAAGCAGTTATAGTCTTGTTTCTGCTATTTATTTTACCTTAATACTTTAGATAAATTATTAATAATATTAAAGATAAAATCTGCTGATTATAATTTTCTATTTTAATAATTTATTTTTTCTAAAAATGTTCTAGCCTCATTAAAATATTATGGGTGCTTAAATAATTCCCCATTTTATAATAATTTTATGAAAGATTACAATTTAAAACATAAAAACTAATATGAATTAAAAGATGTAAGAATAAAAATTTAAAAATTGGAAACTGCAGAAGAGATATATATAATATTTCCCCCTCATCACAAGAGTAAACAATTTTAATAACTTATCACCTTCTTTTAAAATACAATAAATTCTCTCTTCTTCCCATATCTCATCTCTTAACTTTAAACAAAATCTTAAAACCTCATCATTCAATCCTACTTAGCAAAAGTCCATTAAAGGTTCCTGCATATCTATTTTAATCTTGATTAAATAAATAAACTTAGCGGTTTTGTGTCTAATTTTTTTGTTTGTTGGTATAGTAGTTAAGGTACTAGCATAGAAACCAGGAGACTGAATTCTAGTCTGGCTTTAGGTGTGAAAAACAGGCTGGATGACTTTGGGCCAGTCACTTTCTCTCACTCCAACTGCCCTCATGGTTCATTAGGATTTTTTTAAAAAAATCCAGTATATAAAAGGTATCCAATTCACTTTTCTGGTTTGTTACTTCTATGTCCCTTTTAATTATTAACACATAAGCTGGTTTCATTGTATGTCCAATATAATATCTTTTTCCATATCATTCTTGAAAGTTGTCATTTTTAAGCCCACACTCAAATCAAATCATTTCAATCTAGTTTGGTAGAGCTTGCTCGTCTGTAACATCATTTACACTCCATCTGTTCCAGATGTTCTTAAAATTAACTTCTGAGTCCATTATTCACAAATATCATTTTAAAAAGTCCAATATTAAAATAGTTTACTCCATTCTGTATTAACAAGGTGACTTTAAGTATTCTTCTCATTTAATTGAAAACTTTAATTTATGCTAACAATTTCTAAGGTCCAACCTTTAAAATCCCATCCTATCATGTTTCCCTACTCTTTCCCACCCTTTTCCACACTAAGGAATCCAAAGAATAATAATTTCCCCACAGGAAAGATTGTTATAATTAATTTCAAAGTTTTATTTCAAATCCGTCTGGACCTTTAGTCTATTTTTAACTTTCCAAAATCAACATTTTAAATACCCTTTTGCTTTTTATTCCAAAAAGTATTTTTTTAAAAAAAATAAAAATCTTAAATTTATACTTAAAACTTGTTTCATTAAGGAGGAGACTGACTAAGTAAATGTGATAAAAACTTGTTCTGAATGTTCTTAATATTTAAAAAGCATTTCAAAATTATTCAAAAGAATGCTTGGTCAAGCTTTCTGTCCATAGAGGCTACATTATGACTATGAGCTTAGATGGAATCCCTCAATTCCTAGATGCTTGATTAAACTGACCATGGCTCCTGAAGTCTACTACTGAGGAACAGCTCTCTGGAGTACATGTGGGCAGTCTCACAATCTCTCCTTTCTCCAGAGAATTTTGCCAGCCACAATTCAGCATCTGTTTGGCAATCCCCACCCTAAATTCCATCCCTGCTCCTTTACAGACATTTTGCTTGCCATGTCCTCACTGGAAGTCCTAGTACTTAAGTCAATTCCTAATGTGTTGCCATTTTAATCTACAATAGCAAAAATATTTGAAGAGGTAAATTCTAAATATATTGATTTTTTTTGTTAATGTACTAAAATAGATTATTATTAAAATTGCAGACTAGAAGCCACTTCATCATACCTATACCGAAATCAGCTGAACTATACAACAATTTTGCCACATTTTTTGAATTATAAATTATCAGAGGATTTTCCAAAGTCTTTGATAAAATTCCTTATCAAAAGCTTTTGTGTTATGACTAAAGCAGTCCTGCCATTTTTTGGGGATTGCTAATTAGTCAGAGAGACAGCAAGCAGTATAGGAATAAATTAGCATTTTTTTCAGTGGAGTAAGTAGAAACTCTCAAGGATCTATGCTGAGACCAGTGCTTTTCATTTTGATCAATTATCCTGATTTAGGAGTAAACAGTGATCTGACATGGTTTGCAGAAGATACCAAACAATTCAATCAACAAAAATGGCTGTGAAAAAGTCTAGAAGGAACTCTTCATATTTGGTGAATGGTCAACCAAATGGCAAATGCAATGTTGTTTAAAGCAGTATAAACACATGTACATTGGGGGATAAAGTAAGCTAATTCAAATATCAATTGATGTGGTTTAAAGTGCCTATTGTTTATGTTATAATTAGGGTCATAGTGGATAGTTCAGTGAAATTATGGTGCAGCAATTGGGAACAAGGGAAATTCCACTGTAGAGTCCATTAGGAATTGGGCTGAAGTTTAAAAAAAAAAATCCAACACTGCAATGCCCTTATATCAAGCTATGGTGCAACTATGGTTAAAGTAATCTACTGTTACTATAATAATTGGATAGTGTTTATTATTGTTTTATAATGTTTTATTTTTTTGTAAATCACTTGGAATTTCTATGGATTGAGGCAGGATTTTATTACAGAAAGAAATGACATAATAAAAAGTGTCTGCGGTGTCTTGGTTCCAGCAGATTATTAGAATCCTTGTAAGGCATTTTCGTCATGCTTTTGGCATTCCAAGTCATTTTTGTATTTCAGTTGTACAGGACATAAATTCCAGTTTTCCTGTTCCTAATTATAATCTATATGAAGAGGAACATAATGACTAAAGTCTTCAACTTAGATCCCAGTGACTCAGGTGTTCCCACTTGACTATATGTTTCAGGGGATGACTTGAAGAAACATTTTTCAGCCCAATTCACCTCAGGGATAAATTAGTGAAAAACCCACGATTCTCTTAGGAATTGTGCTCAACCCCTTTTCTTTCTGCTTTTAAGAAGTAAAAATTTTAGTTCCCTTCACTTTAAAGTATGGTATCTATGATCTGTAGAAAATGACTAGGAGAGGTTCCCCCCCCTCTTTTAAAGCACTAGGACTGGGAGCTATCAAGTGAATTTGATTAGAGAGGAAGATTTAAAGCAGGCAAAAGAAAGCAATTCTTTGCCAGAATCCATATATAACCTGAGGAATTCAACCATAAAATGTGATGATGGCCATTAATTTCTTGCCTTTAAAAAGTGATTGGATAATTCATAGAAACCAAATTTATCAAAGGCTGTCAGTTTTGAAAACTCAGTGTGATTTCTGAGTTGGGAACATTAAGCAGCAAATATCAGTTGTAGAGTGGAAGCAGAGTATTTATTCCTATATTGGATTTATATCCCACTGTTCCATCAGAAGTTCAAGGCAGCATGCATAGCACCTCAGCTTCCTATTTCTCCGTTCATCATTTATATTTCAGTAACAAGCAGGTAGTATGTTCCTGTTTAAGAACTGAGAAAAACAAGCAGTTGAAAGGATTAGACTTTAGAGAATTTTTCCTTTTTTCAGAACCACAGACATGCACTCAGAAGGATTTTCACTGCTCAAATGGAGACTGCATGTCTGCAAGATTCTGGTGTGATGGTGATTATGACTGTGCAGATGGTTCAGATGAGGTAAAGTAGTATTTGGTTGTAGATTTCCAAATCATCTATTTTGTTACTTACTGGAGATACATCATGAGGAATCAGGTAATCATAACAGTGCAAGAAATCCAGAGGGAACACTATAGGTCACTTGAAAGATACCATCTGTAAGGTATAAAAGATTACAGTATGCATTACTTTGGGCAGTTTACTTAGAAAAACCACAAAAACAAATTTTTGAATTTAAAAATCAGTGATTGGGAATTGGCAATTAATTGGGAAGGATGACCCCTGAATAAAAGTATTTCTTATTGTTTGGAGCAGAGACAGTAATGGCCAATAGATAGTAAAACAAAAACTGTCACACATACTGACATCCAATCTGTACAAATTGGTACCTCTTTTCCAACGGAAACTACTGTACGAGGTAGTGCTATGGACCTATTACGTACTCATCACACTTACCGGAACACCGTCGTTCACTTCTCCGACGTGAAACTAAAGATCTACGAACCTCCTCCTTTTCTGACGTAAAATTGTCCGTTTTTACTTATTGACTCTCTTTTCTTTTGATCCTTTATATGAAGGGTTTCTTAATACTCTGTCCAAACACAAAGATAGGTGGTTTTATTTCCAGATAAATGAATATGAGGAATATGATAAAAGGAGAGATTATTTGTATTTCAGTAAGGTACTTCCTAATATGGATATTAGGAGGAAAAAATCTGAAGTAAGAGATAGTTGTGAATGGGTAAGTGATAGAGGACAAAGAGAAAAAGTAAAGAAGACGGATATAAATAACAAGAAAACAATGGTGGATTGGGCTCGAAAATAAACTATAATTCTTTACATCAGCACAACAGTCTTTACTTTTCAAAAGAAATCATAACATCTATTTAGGCAATACTATCATTAAATAAAAGGGTTTTTTTTCCCCTTATTTTTATTTTTAAGTAATTGGTCCAGTGAGAAAGTGATGGGCTATAATGCTCCTTAGGACACTTCATTGCCAAGAAATAAAACCAGAATGAGAAGAGATAATTTCATGTTATAAATGCTATGTCATTCTGGGACTGTGGCAGCAAAACTTTAAAGAATACTTTTTAGCCTAAAATTGTTTTAAAAATGTAGGCAATTTATTTATTATTATTTTGTTTATTAAATTTCTATACTACCCATCTCACCTAAGTGACCCTGGGTAGTTTACAATCAAATACATGTTTATTTCTGATCAAATAAACTTGCTGTTGCCCAAAAAATCTTTCTAAGCCTAATTGCTGGAAAATGTGAACAGTTCCAGAAACTTGCCCCATGAACATTATGTTTCAATGGCTAATACACAGAAATAGCTAAATCTATCAAAAACGCAATTTTTTTAAAAAAGAATCTGTTGATTTATGGATATATAATGATTCAGAATTACTGGTAAAGACATGTGAACTGGACACAAACAAGAAATAGGCAGACCCACCTCCTACACTGGCTGCTCTGGAAAAGTAGGAGATCTGTTGTGATGAATTAGTAAATGTTATAGGAAAAATGCTAACAGATATGATTCAATTGAGATTAATATGTCCTTCATCTAAAGAAACAAGAAGTTTAAGATTTAACCCTATAAGCATTGAGGGTAAATGTATTTCCACTACTCAAAATGTTACATGTGATACAATAGCTTATACTGCTATCGTTGCTCACTGCTTTGAGGAAAGGCAGAATATATATATGTTTTTTAAAAACAATAAAGAGCAAAATAAATGTAATTATGTCAGTCTATCTTTTTACAGATAGAGTTATTTTTGTAACTGTTAAAACTATTGACACTTGTGAGACTTCTTATTGCAGTTGTAAAATCAAAGAATTCTCCAATAACTTTAAGGCCAGCTTTTACTTGCAAATACATTTGATTGGTATTATATAAATTAAATTAGTTACACTGTTTTTATATCAGAGATATTGTGATTCTGAGTGCTTAAAAGACCAGTTTCAGTGCTCCAATGGTCATTGCATAGCAGCAAAATGGAAATGTGATGGATATGATGACTGCATACTGGGAGAGGATGAGAAGAATTGTGAATCAGGTAACCATTTACCCATTATTAATTATCTGAATACTTATGCCATTATATGAAAAATAACATTAGATTTCTTGATAGATAGATAGATATAGATATAGATATAAATATAGATATATATATTATCTGTAGCATGATTACCTAGTCTGACAGGGGTGTCAAACTGGCCAGATGTGTCACATGCAGGCCATGACCATCCCAGCTACGCAAAAGCAAAAAACATCACGTGACGAGATTGGGTTTGACACCCCTGCTTTAGGGATTCAAAAACTTGCTGCAACATCTTCCAGTAATTCTTCATGGTCACAAGATAGTGAAGTAGTTTGGGTTAAGAAAAAGTGAGACTTTATGCCTGGGGGGGACTCGAATCTAAATTTATCCAATCCTAGTTTGGTACCTTAACTACTATAACACCTTGGCTCAAATTCTCTTCACTAGATTATGAGTTACCTTACATTATGTTCTGCTGTATCATTATTTTTTTGAATGCACGTTTTCTTTATACTTTCATCTTGATGTTGTAGTTTATTCTCTCATAAGCATTTTTAAAATTATACCACATATCCATATCAATGTTTATTATATGTATATTAATAATTTGCACACTTATATACAATCTCAACATTTTTTCTGTGATTTTGTTTTGTTCTTGACATCCATCTGGGTTTGTTTTAATTGATATACCCATGTAAAAAGGAATCTTTTTCTCACTATATGATCTCTCAAAGACAAGAATGGAGCCTTTTAATATAATCTTAGTGAAGCTGCATGCTTGAGGTCCAAAATTAATAATAATAATAACAATAACAGTAATAACAGTAATAATAACAATAACAATAATATAAAATAAAAAAGTTAGAAGGGACCTTGGAGGTCATCTAGTCCAACCCTCTGCTCAGGCAGGATACCATTTCAAACAAATGGCTATCCAGTCTCTTCTTAAAAACTTCCAGTATTGGAGCATTCACAACTTCTGGAGGCAGGTTGTCCCACTGATTAATTGTTCTAACTGTCAGGAATTTTTTCCTTAGTTCTAGGTTGCTTTACTCCTTGATTAGTTTCCATCCATTGCTTCTTGTCCTGCCCTCAGGTGCTTGGGAGAATAGCCTGACTCCCTCTTCTTTGTGGCAACCCCTGAGATATTTGAACACTGCTATCATGTCCCCCCTCGTCCTTCTCTTCATTAAACTAGACATACCCAATTCGAGCAACCGTTCCTTATATGTTTTAGCTTCCAGTCCCCTAATCATCTTTGTTGCTCTTCTCTGTACTCTTTCTAGAGTCTCAACATCTTTTTTATATCATAGTGACCAAAACTGGATGCAATATTCCAAGTGTGGCCTTACCAAGGCATTGTAAAGTGGTATTAACACTTTATGTGATCTTGATTCTATTCCTCTGTTAATGCAGCTTAGCACTGTGTTGGCTTTTTTGGCAACTGCAGCACACTGCTGGCTCATATTTAAGCCATTGTCCACTAGGACTCTGAGATCCCTTTCACAGTTACTACTATTGAGTAAGATACCACCTATACTATAACTGCATTTGGTTGTTCTTGCCTAAATGTAGAACCTTATTTTTTCACCATTGAATTTCATTTTGTTAGATAGTGCCCAGTGTTCAAGTCTGTCCAGATCCTTCTGTATCTTAATCCTATCTTCTGCAGTGTTGGCTATTCCTGCTAGCTTGATGTCATCTGCAAATTTGATGAGTTCCTCATCAATATCCTCATTGAAATCATTGATGAATATGTTGAAGAGCACTGGGCCCAGAACATTTGCCAGTTCCTTCAGAACCTAGGAGTATAATGCATCTGATCCTGGTGATTTGAACTTATCTAGGGTGGACAGGAACTCGCTTACCGTTTTCTAGCCTATGTTAACTTGTGTTTCTAATCTGTTTTTTATGGTACTATTTTTGATAGGCTGGACTGCTTTTTCCCTTTGTGTAAAGACAGATGCAAAAAACTAGTTGAATAGTTCTGCTTTCTCCCTGTTGCTTGTCACCTTCTTGCCACTTTCTCCCACTAATGGACCAATCATTTCCTTAACTTTTTTCTTTTTTTATGTGTTGAAAGAAGCTTTTTTTTTTTTTTTACTTTTGTCGCAAGCCTTAGTTCACTTTGAGTCTTAGCTTTCCTCACTTCATCTTTGCAGGCTCGGGCTATTTGCTGATATTCTGCCTTAGTTATGTGCCCATTTCTACTTTTTATGTTTGTCCTTTTTGTCTTTCAATTTATCAGAGAGTTCTTTATGCAGACATGCTGGTTTCTTTTGAGAACTGTTATTTTTCTTCTTCATTGGTATTGTGCAAGACTGGGCTTTTATAATCTCACTTTTCAAAATTTCCCAAACTTATTGAGTTGTTTTCTCCTTGTGGATTGTCATCCACAGAATCCTTCCCAAGCTCTAAGTTTATTGAAATTAGCTCTCTTAAATTCCAAGACTCTAGCTTGACTATATTCTATTGCTTGTGCTTGAATAATGTTGAATTCCAATATTGCATGACCACACACACCCCAGGTTCCTGTGGCTTCAACACCTTCTATCATTTCATCTCTGTTAGTAAGAATTAAGCCCAATATGGCCGATCCCCTAGTTCCCTTCTCTACTTTTTGGGAGATAAAGGTGTCTGCTAGGTTTGTCAGGAATCTGTTTGATCTCCCACTTGGTGCAGAGTTTGTCTCCCAGTTGATGTCAGGGCTGTTAAAGTCCCCCATTACTATTGTGATTTGCTTCCTACATATCTTAGTTAACAGACTAGCAAAAAGTTCATCTATTTCCTCTGTTTGGTTGGGTGGCCTATAGTATACACGTATGGCAATGTTATTTTTTCCCCTTTTTATATTGACCCAAATGCATTCAGTTCTTAGAAACTGTAATAAAACACAGTCTTAATATGGAAACATGTCATAATACACTTTCACATAGAATTGTACCATTGGCTTTTGGGAATCAAAATGGATTTGATACAGTGTATTTTGGGACCTTAAAATTAATACTCGAGTGTATTTTTATAATATAGAGTCTTTAAATGTGAACTGACTGCATTTTTTCTAAATTGTTGCTGAGAAATCTTAAAAACACTAGCAATTTATATGATAATTCTTATTGGTTCTATAGTATCCTTCCCTAAGCTGATAATTTTCTGAAACATTGGGCTACCTTTCCATCATGTCAATAAGGTTGTGCAATGGTCAAGCCAACCTGGAATTGAATAATTATTATTATTCAATTATTCAAATAATTATTATTCAATAATAATGCAAGGCAACAGTTTGAAGAAAGATGTTATAATAATGTGTTGATTACAGATGAAAACAGTTCAAATATACTCTGAGCAGTATAGTTTGTTTTTCCTCAATATTTAAAGAATGAGATTTGTACTGTATGCAATTTTGAATGAAATAAATCTGTATAAAAATTATAGAAATTTGATCTCTTCTGAAATATTGATTTCTCTAAAGCCACTTATAAATGTACTGTATATAATGACAGAAATCATTCACAAACAGTATTTGTGACTACATTTTACCATTCTGTTGTTAAAGTCCTGAGTGGATGTATGGGAATAAAAATAAGAATATATACTGGCCCATATTCTTCACCATATTCTGTACATCGAGGTCCATTATCTTCTAGGTTTTTAAAGATAAGGTACACCCAAATATGGTATCCGCAATCTATCTATTAATCTGAAATTATGTTATTTCATTTGCCTGTTTTCAATGTTATGTCTTAAACAGCGTCCCCAACCTGCTCTTCAAGTGAATATGTCTGTGCCAATGGAGGCTGTATCTCAGCATCTTTTAGATGCAATGGAGAATATGATTGTCCTGATGGTTCTGATGAAGTAAGACATTAAATATCTTAATCTGATCCAAAGTTTTCATCTACAAGTTTAGAAACTTGAATTTAAAATAGCAATACTGTGGAATAGCTTTTTGACTCAGGAATTTATCCATAAAACATAGGTCCAATGTTTAGAAAAATTCTGTATTTCAATAATAGCATTAATGTTTTCATTGATATAAGGAACAATTGTGTTCTTTTGATGATAGTCTCCAATTCTAGAATACTGTACATTAAAGATACATTTGGCTAATTATTTTTAAAGGCATTTAAATCCTTTTTTGTACAATAAAAAATTAGGTGGCTGGGTTGCAGATGTAATTTTTTTACTATGTGTATATAAATCCTTTCTTATTTTTATCTTTATTTTTTTTAAAAAAATGTTTATACTGAAATAGTTTCATTTTGCCTATTGTTGCTTCCCAGTTATATGATTTTGTTTCCCCAAAATAATGCATTAATAAATAAAGGACAGTTTATAGAACTGTGTGGCTGATTGTTTTGTGTGTAAGAATCAGTGGGCATTATCTCATTGGTGTCTTGCAAAAAATAATTGCACCACTATATAAACTAGGAATTCATAGGTTATTTGATCTCCCTGTTCTGATTAATCCCCTGGATTTTCCTTCAAGATACCCTAATCTTCAAAATGTATTTATTGAAAGTATATGGAGATGTGGGCGAGAGGGAAAAGAATAAGGAATCTTTTATTGCCAAGGAGCTTTTGAATATTGATTATTATTAAAGATGAAAATTGTGAATGTAGCACTTTATATTCTGTGATGACATACTCTTATCAATAAAAAATACCAATGATTAAATTATTAAACTGGTTTTGTTAAATTCTAGTTGCTCCAATTATACTTCTGCTATCTTGATTGGCAATAATCACTGCCACATATGAATGTATGTTTATACAGATGCACTGTGTAACAGAATGTAAAGAAGACCAATTTCAATGTAAAAATAAAGCGTACTGTATACCTATCAGATGGCTTTGTGATGGAATTCAAGATTGTGTGGATAACAGTGATGAACTAAATTGTGACAGAGGTGAGAATTTTTCCCCATCTTTTCCTGGCTATTTTTATAGTTATTTGCTGAAAGTATATCCCATCTTTTGTCTAACCCAGGTTAGACAAAAATGATTTCCCATCATTTTTTCTCCTACAACTCTGTGAAAAAGTAATTGGACAAAGCCACCCAACAACATTTTCTATAGCTGTTGGTACAGCTTGTTTTTTGTCAAGATACAACATACAGGTATGTTCTTTATACAGATCACCCATTCTACTGAGTTAAATAGAGCATCCTTTGCATTTCTCAAGTAAGATAATTTTTTAAAGCATTTTAATCTTTGGAATTATCTACAAATAGTGCAGATGTATTATTTTCTACTCTAGAAAGGAAATTATGAAACCATATAAGTCAGGTTAATTATATATATATATATATATACAGGTCTTGGCGTATTCGGGTATATATATTATATATATATATATATATATATATATATATATATATATATATATATATATATATATATATATATATATATTGGCTGGAGATAGAATTAAAAATGCGACTCTTGGGTGCGTCCATGTTGTGTCCAAATAATCACGATCACCAAGAGTAGATAAAATGTTTATAAACAATTAAAAAGTTTAAAAACAGTTTAAAAGCAATAAAACATTTAAAATTATCGGCAACCGAGCTTTCGTCAGACTCTCCCGACATCATCAGGGTTGCTGAGGCAGTGTTTGGGAGGGTTTATATACAATTCTCACATGCCTGCATCCGGCTGCGCGAGCGCGTAACCGGGCCTCGGTACACGCGCTCCTGATGATGTCGGGAGAGTCCGACGAAAGCTCGGTTGCCGATAATTTTAAATGTTTTATTGCTTTTAAACTGTTTTTAAACTTTTTAATTGTTTATAAACATTTTATCTACTCTTGGTGATCGTGATTATTTGGACACAATATATATATATATATATATATATATATATATATATATATATATGTTTTCTGAGGTTTTCGCGGGTGTTTGTATGTAGGTCTTTGGTTAATCGGGTTTTCTCCCACGTTAATCGGGTTTTCTTCCCTGGTCCAACACCTTAAAGCCACAGGACATAAAATTGACTTTAAAAAGACCAGAACTATTGCCAAAACTGAACACTTTAACAACAGAATAATCAGAGAAGCCATCGAGATAGAAAAACGCCCACACAGCATGAATAAAGGAGATGATACCTCCCGCCTACCAGCCATTTGGAAACCCGCCCTTATTGGCAAACGAGTCCCTAACACAAAGAATGACACCAGACCCACACTCACGAAAACCACACAGGAGGTCACCACCACACATCCACGCAAAAAGCAAACCCAAACCCACACAGATGATGAGGCACGACCACAAACTAGAAGCCAGTCTACAGCTGCATCATTAGCCACTTTAAACCCCTCCAATCCATACATGAAGCAAACTGACACCCAGCATAAAGATGTGGCATGACCACGAACACGAAGCCAAACAACAGCAATGAAGCTCACCATCTCAAATCCCCCTGCAACTCAGACTAATCAGAGCACAACAAAGCCCCCACCCAAACAGAACACTCCCCCAGCCAATCAGAGCACAGCCAACCCCCCTTCCAATCAGAGCACAGCCAAGCTCCTTAACCAATCAGAACACACCTCCACCCAATCAGAACACAGCCAAGCTCCCACCCAATCAGCTCAAACCCCACTGGCAGTTAAAAGGAAGAAACAGCTACGATCACACACTACTCCTAGAAGCACGAAGCTGAAGACACCAGCCTGAAGATGACGAATGTGACCGTCGAAACGTCGACAAGACACTTCCAATTTTACGCGGGAGAAAACCCGATTAACCAAAGACCTACACACACACACACACACACACACATATATACATAGTACAAATAAACAGAGTTATATTATCTCACTGACAGCATCATCATACAGAATGGAGATAGAGATAGAGATAGATGTCTGATTATTGTAATTATTATTTTTTATGATATTTTATGACATTTATAGTTTAAAATACACTATTATAATTGATGGTGTGTATGTGGATATATACATGCATTCATATTCATATATACACATTCATATGTACACAGTGTTCTTTTTAATTATAGCAATAATCCTTATATAAAAATAGAATTCACAAATGATGTTTATCTAATGATATACTTGATTTTTTAAATTCTTTTGTATTTGTAATAATAAAAATATGTTAATACATTTATATAATTGTAAATGTAGACTTATGTCAATAAATTTGTCTTACTTTTTATTCAACATTCTTTCCTCTTTAGTATTAATATTTCTCTGTAATAACAGCATTGATTAAAAACAAGCACATTACAGGTAGTCCTTGACTTACAACCATTTGTTTAGAGACTGTTCAAAGTTACAATGACACTGAAAAAAGTGACTTATGATCATTTTTCACACTTACAGCATCCCCCCAGTCACGTGACCACAATTTGGATGCTTGGCAATTGGTTCATAATTACGATGTTTGCAGCATCCTGGGATCATGTGATCAGCTTTTATGACTTTCTGACAAGCAAAGTCAACAAGGAAGCCAGATTCAAGTTGCAACCACGTTACTAACTTAACAACTGCAGTGATTCACTTAACAATTGCGGCAAAAAGGTCATAAAATGAGGCAAATTCACCCAACTGTCTCGCTTAGCAACATAAATTTTGGGCTCAATTGTGGTCATAAGTTGAGGACTACCTGTGTTCTAAGAAGCATTGGAGAAATCATACTGATCCACAAATGTTGGAAGAATACCATGAACAAACCAATATTACTGATGGCAGATGAGAAATGAGAAACACCAAAGCAGAATTAGATGAAATGGTCTTTTGAATTTTCATTTTTAGTATTGCAGTAGTTTTAGTGAAAATGTCTAATGGTGTGGATATCAGTATTATTCTTACTTTTCTTCATTGAAAGAGATACTAATAGACACTAGTAGTAGAGATTTATTTCTCCTCTTGAAGTTTAAACTAGTTAAGATGGCACTTTGCAGCTGGCCCCAGAATTTATTGTACCATCTTCAGAGCTATTCTCAGTGATTATCAGATAGTGGCTACTTTTCTTGCAATTGGAAATTTATACAGAGTTTGTCAGGTGCCTTTTTACATATACTGAGAATTCTATATATACAGGGAATTCTACTTATGCAAGCCCTGCAATAAGTAGCAATAAGTAGCAGGAACAACAGCATTTTAAGTGATTTCCAACATTGTATAATATATTTCTGGTACCACATTGTGATTGTCCTTTTTTTTTTCCCAGCAGCAAAATACTTTATTTATTTATTTTATTTATTTTACAAAATTTATATGCCGCCCTTCTCCCCATGGGACTCAGGGCGGCTCACAGCATGTTAAAACAATATACAAAATTACCCCTTCTAAAAACCAATTAAAATCCAAATATTAGTGGCTGTGACTATTTAAAATCATTAAAAATTATCCCTATTTAAAATTCACCCTAGGTCAGGCCCG